AGAAGACGCGGTGTGCCTCAGTGGTGTCAGCGATCCAAAAGGACACGTCCTGTTACCCTCTCGAGTGGTTGGCAACTCTAGGCGTTCGAAGTGAATGGTTTCGGGTACGGATGTCTATAGTCGCGGTGACTCACCACTGCCGAAGAGTTGAAAGGAGCCCAACTTTGGACAATTTCCAACTATTGTTCTCTTCACGATGGCCCCTACCGCCTAGGTGTTCCTGGAGGTCGCATATGACCCTAAAGAACGGAGTCCTACACTTCCGATGGGTGCTTCGAGGCAAAGCTTGAAGAATAGGCTAGGAGAGGGAGGTATTGGGCAGGCTTGAGTTTTACCTCCTAGTGGACATCGGTCAAGAGTGTGGGCCCCATAAGATTGAAGAGCCGTCTCTCGTTCGGGCGCGTCTCCTGCTTTGTTACAGTTCACACGCAGACTCGTTACAGTCGAAGCAGTGTTGCTGTAATACTTTCATCCAATCCATATCTATCCATTTGTTTTAAGCACACTTTCCTAAGGACTTTGTTCAGGAAGTCTTTAAACACAAAGGATCAATTCTTACCCATCTAGCAATTACCCTCTCACTCATTCCCTCCTGGATTGCTATAATCGCATTCGGGTACACTCTAAATGCGCTTGCACTCACTTCAAGGTTAAGAGCAGTAACCCAGTAACCCACTCCTTCTCGATCCACCTATTCACCATTCTTCTTCGTCTACCTCCTCCATCTCTCCGTCTCGCACCATCCACCTCCCCCAGAAGAGAGGCAGAAAATGTGCACGAATACCCTACAATCTATTCGACGCATGCCACCTGACAGGTGGCACGGATGATTTGTAAAATTAATAATCACTCGTCTCTAGAGTGGATTTACTCATGTATGGAGGGAGAGTTGAGGAGTTCCTGATCAATAGGATGCTCTACTGCATCACTCTTGCCCTCCACTCGGGTGATAAGGGACCGCGGTTTGAAGATGGCGGTCGCCCGTTCGTGTACGATTTGTTCCAGGCGATCCTGAATCTGGACGGAGGAAGAGAGAGAAGAATACTGTTGGATTCAAGGACTGGAATGTAAGAATGTGCTGTCAATTGGATAACCCGTGTCGACCCTTAACAGAATGTCTGTAAATGACACTCGGTAAATGTTCGTATTTCCTGTTTTCAGAACACTGCTAACAATCGTGAACCATCTGAAAAATCTTGTGACAGAGCAGTCAGTAGTGCCTTCATAAAGATTTCACACCATCTTCCTACTGGCCTTATGTATACCAGCAGTAGTAGATCCGTTGCTTTCACCCTGTCAGTACTTCAATCGCATTCCAAGTCCACCAACACTTGGGTTGTTTTAGCGCCAAATCGTGGGTACAAAGCTCCAAGAAAGTGACTGTTGTGCAAAGTCTTTCACATGAGATATGCATTGCAATACAAAAATTTTCTCCATTTTGTAGGCGAGTATTTGCAAGAAATAACTGTAAAGGTGTATTTACACGTATTTCATAATAAGAAGTCAGCTTTTAAAAAAGATGCA